TGGCACACAGATTAGTATCTTCAAATAAGCCCACCAGGTATGCTTCACTAGCCTCCTGAAGAGCACCAATGGCTGCACTCTGAAACCTCAAGTCGGTTTTGAAATCCTGGGCAATCTCTCTCACCAACCTCTGGAAAGGCAGCTTCCGAATGAGAAGCTCCGTCGATTTCTGGTAACGACGAATCTCTCTAAGCGCTACGGTACCAGGCCTGTAGCGATGAGGTTTCTTCACCCCGCCAGTAGAGGGGGCGCTTTTCCTGGCAGCTTTAGTGGCCAGTTGTTTTCGGGGGGCTTTCCCACCAGTGGACTTACGAGCAGTCTGCTTGGTTCGGGCCATTTTCTTTTACCCAACGCAGAAGTCTTAAGTAGCTTTTCAGACCGCCGCGCTGGCCTTCAGGCAACAGCCGCAGTTGACGAAAACAAAAACGACAAACCCTCAACGAACGACCAAACCGCTCTGCCTCTTTTTTCTTCTATTACTGCTCCCTATACTCTACCTTTTCTCCTCTCCATGCTTTGGCTAATTTAGATCAGAATAGATTATTTGGCTAATGGGAGCATAAGGAGGGAGGGAAGTCTACGAGTTCTCCCTTAAAATTATTTTCATTAGGCACACTGGACTTTGCTTGCTGTGGAGTCAAAAACACTATAACACTGAGTGGTTGTGAATTTGTGGGTATGTAACCAGTGCTGCTATACCTTGAGTGCTAGTCATGATAAGGTCAAAAAGAGAAGAGATCTTAATACTAGAGAAATGAAATCTTTGTAATGCAACCAAATTTATTACAATTCTAAAAAAATCTATTGACAAGTAAATTACTCAACAAATCATCGCTAGGTTGGTTCACCTAATGCCCATTCATTCTTTTGTTCATTCATTTGTCATTATGGCAATCTCTGAGCCAAGAGCTACAAACACTGGTAAGTGAGCTGCAGGCCCTGATCAGTCTAATTTTTGAAAAACTGGCACTTTCAGACTGTGTATCTGAAAGTCCTGGTGTCCTAAAAACAAAGAATTGTAGCTACATAGTTCTGGCAGGTAGAGTGGGCAGCTCCTGGTAGTTAATGCTTGCTAAAAATTCTTTAAAAGTCATTTTAACAGCATCTTAAAATTTTAGAATTCATTTTGAAGTTAATTAATTGGGCAGAAAAATATCTACTTCAAACTAGAATATTTTGTGTGAGAAACATATCTAAAATACCAATTTTTTCATATGATAGGGATATATGTGTGTCTATGTTTATAGCAGCACAATTTGTGATAGCCAAATCTTGGAAACAACCAAGATGCCCATCACCTAAGGAATGGTTGAAAAAGATGTGGTATTTTTACACAATGGAGTATTATTCAGCTATAAAGAATGATAAACTTGAAGCCTTTATATTGAAGTGGATGCCACTTGAAGATGTACTCATAAGTGAAATAAACCAGATACACAGCTATAAAGAGTGTATAGTTTCCCTAGTATAAGAACTGCAAAGAAGAAATACAAATAGAAAGGTATAATACAAGTAAAAGGAAAGCAAGATCTCAAGGACTAACTAATAATGAGAGGGAAAGGAGAAGAGCTAGGAAACAGGACAGTGACAAGCCATACAGATATATGTAGAAGATGGGCAAGGCAAAAATCCTGAGAATCTCCAGAAGATTTTGAATCTAGGAGTTAATTGGAAAGATTCTCACCCTGACTAACTATATATACTGATACCTGTGAACTAAGCAACTGCACTGAAGATGGTAATCGGTAATAGTATTTTCATGCTTGGAGTGCCGGTCATTCTGGTCTTCTGAATATGAGCTGCTTATCACGACATGCCAGTTGCTGCTGTGCTGTCTCTCAAGTAGATGATTGTTCAAAAAGAAGGAGGTGGTCAATGAAGGCAGGAGACAAGAAAAGGAGTGTTGTGGGACTGTCTTGCTTCAAGGTTGTGTATGGTTAAATTTTTGGACCTATGTGTAAATATAAGAATTATATAATTT